GGGGGGACAGGGCAGAGGTGAAAGGGGACCATCTATGGAGGGGGCAGGACAGGGAGGACAAGGACCCTGAGAGGGGAAAGGTCAGGGGAGACGGAACCCTCTTGGAGAAGGCAGGGCAGGGGGAAAGGGGATCCTCCATGGAGAAGGAAGGGCAGGGGGGACAAGGGGGACTCCACTGCCCTGCCCCCAGCCCCTCCTTCTTCTCCATGCTTGTATGGTTCGGTATTACCAAAAGGGGCCGAACTGGATAAGCAGTGCTTGTTCATGGAAATTCATTCTAAAAGCATAACTCCAGCCGCTGCCACCAGGTGGGGTATATGCTACTTTTTGGTAAACACCAAATGATCAAAATAATTTCAGGAATTTGAATAATTAATCAACAGCAGACAACTCTGGGATGAACTATTGTGCCGTTCTATCAGATATTAATAAAACATTATTTCAATATAATTTTAAAGCCTACCTATTCAGCCCAAAGTAGGCGTCTACTTTATACTATTCTGCACTAAATGAAGTTTTGATTTTGACATTTTCTGCATGTTCCCTGTTCTGTTCCACTTTATCTTATCATCTTATTTCACGCCAAGCTTTACATTCCTAAAACAATGCTGAAAACCTTGCCTCAGAAACGACTAACTGTGTCTGGCTTCTAGCTGTCTGACCTTCCCGGGTGACACTAGATTGCGTGGTGCGGCCTTACACTTACTGGCCTAGTTCCCTTCCAAACCCTCGCTGGTCTCCTCTGGGGGTGCTTGCTTTCTCTCGGCCTGTGCTCGGCTGCTCCAAGGGCCTGAGCCCCTGCCGGCTCCCTTTCCTCCTTCCCCTCACTTTCCCACTTGAAGGAGTTTCATGAGCAGAGTCTGAGGTTATTTGCTCTGTTTCAAGATCCACTGTGTTTCTAACTGGGCTGTCCCATTGTGCTTTTTCTCTCCTCACAATTCATGAGATATCAGTGAGCTTTTGATGTAAAATGCAATTGTCTATCTGCCCTTGATAGTGCCCTGGGCTTAACATTTTTCCAAGAAACTTCGCCACTCAAAAGCTTCTATGACAGCTTCTGTACCTAATTTTTTTTTTCTTTCCATAAGAATTGAAATATCACAGCAAAAAACAAACCAAAAGCAGAAAGGGCAAGTAAACGAAAAGAAATCTTATAACAACTCGAGATTTTTTCATGTTTTATTGACTCTTACAGCTTGTATGGAAGTGCTGGTGACACCTACTGGAGCAAGAAGAAACTATGTCGTGGAGGAAAAGCTGGCACAGCTCTTTATGTAACTTGTGTTACAGACACAGAGCCCATCCAAGCACAGCCCAGCTCCCTGCCCTGAGAGTTCTGTGATGACAAGGTTGTCAATCTGTTTCTAGTTACATGTGTGAACGTCCCAGGAAGCATCTCTTATATCAAGTAGAAATTTCTTTTCTTCTCTCCCCGGGATTTCCCAGGAGCAAAGCAATCTGGTTGTCTATGTGTTTTGGAGGGGGTATTATTAATTGCTTCCACATGTTAGTCCATGCTAAAACAAACACTCATTCTTATTGGAGGGCTTGGGTGTGCTTTATTTCCTACGTGTGCATTTATATACAATATATTTCCATACTGTGGGCACAAGCCAGGGCCTGCTCTCCTCCATGCTTTACTGTCTTCCTAAGGAATCACATCTAGCTTCACTGCTGTCCATGTTTATTTGATGCAAATTACCAAATGTCTCCTATGTATCTCAGAAATAAGCACCTCAGAAATAATGTCTAAATAAAAAATTTTATTTCCATCTCACACTGAATCCTCTTTCTACTTTAGTTTCCCCCACTATAGTAAATGTCACTGTATTAGCATCCCATGATTGTGGTAACGGTTACCACAAACTTGGAAGTTTAAAATAAAGGAAATGTATTCTCTCCCAGTCCTGGAGGCCATAATTAATTTCAATGGACCAACATTCAAAGTGCTGCAAAGTCATGCTCTCTCTGGAGACCCTAGGGGCACCTCCGTTCCTTGCCCCTTCTAGCTTCTGGCGGCTACCAGCATTCTTTTGCTTGTGACTATATCACTCCAATATCTGTTTCCCTAATGTGACTGCCTTCTCCTCTATTTCTGTGTTCAAACCTCCCTTTTCCTACCTCTTATAAGGAAACACATTGATTGCATATCAGGCCCACTTGGATAATAATCCAGGACAATCTCCCCATGTCAAGATCCTTAACCTAATGAGGTCTGCAAAGTTATTTATTTATTTGCCATATAAGGTAGCATTCCAGTTTCCAGGGATTTGGACATGGATATATTTTTTCCCCCTCAATCACCTTTTTTTAAATTGTGGTAAAATACACATAAAATTTACTATCGTAGTTATGTATTTTAAAATATGTTATTACTGATTTTAGAGAGAGAGGGAGAGAAACACCAATGAGAGAAACATCGATTGGCTGCCTCCTGCACCCCCCCCCCCACTGGGGATGGAGCCCGAAACCCNAGTGAAGTTCATGGTGGGTTTTGTTGTTGTTGTTAAACATGTTTTTATTGATTTTAGAGAGAGAGAAAGGGAGAGGGAGAGATGTCAATGAAAGAAAAACGTTGATTGGCTGCCTCCTACAGCCCCCCCCACTGGGGATGGAGCCCGAAACCTGGGCATGTGCCAGGAAGCAATGGTGACCAACCAACTGAGTCACACCAGCCAGGGCTGGTGGGTTCACTGAAAACAAATATCTCAGCTATTTTAAGTATACAGTTCATTGACACTGAGTACATTCACCATCACCATTCATATCCAGAAGTCTCTTTGTCTTAGAAACTGAAACTCTATACACATTAAACAGTAACTTCCCCTTCTCCCTCCTCTCACCCCCTGCTAACCACCATTATGCTTTCTCTCTCTATGAATTTTACCACTCTATGTATCTCACATATGTGGAATCAGACAGTAACTTTCCTTTTGTGACTGACTTTCATCACTTAGAATAATGTCCTCAAAATTTATCCACGCAGTAGCATGTTTCAAAACTGTCTTCATTTGTAAGGCTGAATAACACTCCATTGTTTGTATATATCACCTTTTGCTTATCCATTCCTTCATCTAACACAGATTGGCCCTCTTGGACACAATTATTCAAGACTCCTCCACTTGCAAAATACATTCACTCCTGCCCTAGGCACCCAGTCAGGGCATCAAGCTACAATTCTAGAATCGCATATTCTAGTCAGATCTGGATAAAGCTCCTCTTACTCTGGAGACCTGTGGAACAAAGGAGAGACTGTCTGTGTCCCTTCCCTTGCCACCACTCATCTCCAACATGCAGAGTAGGGACAGGGCCACCCAATAAACAGGCCAATTCAAAAGGAGAACAGGAGGCCCCAAACAGCCACTGTTGCAATAAAAAGTATAAAATACCTAGGAATAAATTTAACAAAGATGTAAAAGACCTATACACTGAAAACAACAAGATTGTTGAAAGAAATGTAAGAAGACACAAAGAAATGGAAAGATATTCCGTGTTCATGGATTGGAAGAATCCACAGAGTTAAAAGGCCATATTACCTAAAGCAACATGCAGATCTAATGCAATCCCCTGTCTGCCCTTCCCCAGCGAGGCTCGGTCTTGGAAGTATGAGATGGTGGAGGGAGGGCTTGACTTTTTGACTCATTNTAATCCACAGTTAAAAGGCCATATTACCTAAAGCAACATGCAGATCTAATGCAATCCCCTGTCTGCCTTTCCCCAGAGAGGCTCAGTCTTGGAAGTATGAGATGGTGGAGGGAGGGCTTGACTTTTTGACTCATTCCCCTCCCTTCTCTTCTTCTCACCCCTACCCTCCACCCCCGCAACTGTACCTTGCTCCAGGTGGCAGAAAAGTCAGCCTTGCTTAGAAGATTTGAAATCTGGTATTTACAGTGTCTAGGTGGAGCATATTCTAAATGCCAATTCATTTTCTTAGGTATGCTTTTGGGGTTTTTAGGAGACCTGCATTGTGGGGATCTCTCACTGGCCGTTCTCTCGGCACAGGCGATGCCTCCTCTGGCTGCCTGCTTATGGCCTCGCCTCAGCCCCTGCTTTCCTGTGGTCTCACCACACACTCCTCCAAGTGGTCCTTATTGGCACAGTTCCTCTTAATCAATTAAGAATAGCTTCCTCCTGGGGAAAGCCCAAGTCTGGTCCATTGACACACGTCTTTTCCCCACCAAACTCTGGAAGAGCAGATTTTGCCTTTCTTCCCCACTCTGCTGTCCCAAGGCGGTAGCTAGTTAAAGCTTCCTGCCTTAAGATTTCCCTGCATTCCCCCTTTGAAATAGACTGTTTTTTAGAGCAGTTTCCAGTTCACAGCAAAATTGAGCAGAAAGTAGAGAGAATTCTCATATATTCCCTGCCCCGCCCCCCAGACTCCTCCACTATCAACCTTCCACATCAGAATGGTACATTTGTTAAAGCTGATGAACCTCCATTGACACATCATTATCACCCAAAGTCCATAGTTCACATTAGGGTTCACTCCTCGTGGTATACATTCTATACATTTTACAAATGTAAAATGACACGTATCCATCATTACAGTATCATACAGAATAGTTTCACTGCCCTAAAAACCCCCCATGCTCGATCTATTTATTTCTCCCTCCCCTAAAACCCCTGGCAAACATTGATCTTTTTATNCATCTATTTATTCCGCCCTCCCCTAAAACCCCTGGCAAACATTGATCTTTTTATTGTGTCCATAGTTTTGCCTTTTCCAGAACGTTATATAGTTAGAGACATATAGTATGTAGCCTTTTCAGATGGCTTCTTTCACTTAGTATATTTAAGGTACCTCTGCATCTTTTCATNCTTTGCCTTTTCCAGAACGTTATATAGTTAGAGCCATACAGTATATAGCCTTTTAGATGGCTTCTTTCACTTAGTATATTTAAGGTACCTCTGCATCTTTTCATGGCTTGACAGCTCATTTCTTTTTAGCACTTAATAATATTCCTTTGTCTAAATATACCTCTATTTATTTTTCCATTTACCTGCCGAAGGCCTTAGACTTTTCATCCATGTGTCAAGTACCAGACTCTATGTCTCTCAAATTCCAAGGCCACATACCAAACTTTTTGGATGATTCCATTAAGGCCACTCAAACTCAATATGGTGAGGAAGTGTTTTAGGCAGAATAATGGCCACCAAGATGTCCACGTCCGAATCCCCAGAACCTGGGAGTATATTGAGTTGCATGGCAAAGTGGAATGAAGGCTNGGTAGGCAGACTAATGGCCACCAAGATGTCCACGTCCGAATCCCCAGAACCTGGGAGTATATTGAGTTGCATGGCAAAGTGGAATGAAGGCTGCCAATCAGCTGACTTTCAGTTAGGGGAATTATCCTGGATTAATTGGGTGGGCCCAATGTAAGAGCCCTTGGAGTGGAAGCAGGCGGCAGAAGGCTCAGCATCAGTGATGGGATGGGATCAAAACTCAACTTGCTGATGCTGCCTGTGAGCCAAGGAGTACGGGGGTTGACAAGGAGGAGTGGTTTCTCGAAGGAAGGGGATTCTTGGTGTCAGAAATGAGCTCGGGAAGGATGTTGGGGAAAATAAACAGGAGTTGTCCCATTTGATACTTATAAAAAGGTATACACAGTATTAGTTAAATACAGCTATGAATATAAATGTAGATGTATATGCAAATACATGAAAATAGGAAGAATGAACTGGTATATATAGCAGTTTTTTTCCTGTATGGCAGGTAGTATTTTATTTTATTTTTTTGCTTACCTGGAATTTAAAAATATATATATTTTTATAGATTTCAGAGAGAAGAAGGGAGAAAGAGAGAGAGAGAGGAGAGAGAGAAAAACATCAGTGATGAGAGAGTCATTGATTGGTTGCCTCCTGCATGCCCCCCACTGGGGATCGAGCACAAACCCCAGGCATGTGCCCTGACAAGGAATCGAGCATCGATCTCCTGGATCATAGGTCAATGCTCAACCACTGAGCCAGGCTAGCCGGGCTGGATTTTTTTCTCTATAATGAATATTATTATTTACATAATAAAGAAACAAAAGACATAAAAAAAAGCAAGTATACATACTTTTTCCAAGAACCCTTTGTTACTTTTCTAACATGAATTTGCCCTTCGCACTAAGACCACAGGCAAGTGCTCTTTGCATTGGATGGTTCAGAGCAGCCTCCTCTACCTGGGACTCAGCCACCTTTCCATGCAGCCAGGCCCCCCACCCACATCCAGGCCACTGCTTATGATGGCACCAGATGTAGGCCTGTTCCCTGAGGTCTGGCCCATTGTCACTGTTCCAGAGAAACCTGCCTCCACATAATGCCCTTGAAAAGAGGAACCCATTCCCAGGTTCAAGCGAGACGTGGGGAAACCCCCTACGGTATCTGTGGCCCCTTTCCATCTTGGGAGAGTCTTCCCTTCATCCCAGAATTAACAAAATAAGAACTTTTTTCCAACAAGAGGAAGCCTGTTTCTGAAGGTAAGGTCTATGGCTGTCTTTCTCCTCATACCTGGGGCAGAGCAGGCATTCTAGAGGAATGGATGGGTGAATCATCCCACCTACCACTCTTCTTGGTGTCTCTGTCCTACTTCCCAGGGCACACATCCAGAGTGTGCTATGGAATTTTTACATTATCTGGGGTCTGCCTGTCAAATTCCCTCATCACATTGTAGGCAGAAGTCCTCTCTGGGACCTGTGGACCACCTGACAAGTGGTAACAGCTCCTTTCTCATTTCATAGTTATTCTTCCCTCTCTTCCCCTCTTTGTGTCTCTGCTCCTCCCCTTCCCCTCTCCCTGGTTAGTTGTCCACTCTCGTTGCTTGGTCTCTTTTCCACTACCATTGATTATGTCCATGGTCCACCTTTAAGCATAAGGTGGGTCCCAACCAGAGAAGGGGGAAAAGTGGCCAAACTGTTTCCTTCCTCCACCCTTATTCAGAGAAGGTCTTAGAACCTCAGGAGCATGGCCAAGAAGGAAACAGAAAGATGAGCATGGACTTTCTTTCTCTCATGACAGCAGTGATTTTTTGTCACTTCTGGTCTAGTCCAAAGTTCTTCCTTTTGGAAGAGCTGGCATCTCCTGAGTGTCCAGGAGAACTGCCTGCACTGCTGGCTGGAAAGCATGGCTGAGCACTTGTCTCCTACTCTGTCCTTTCTCCCAGGCTGTCAGGCCAGGGGCCATAGAGCACCCAGAGGGAGGCACAGGAGAGGTGCTGGCGCTTAGTGAACACCTACAGGTGAGCATGGCCATAGGAAAATAGCATGTGACTCACTCTTTCTCTGTAAGTGGGAAATGAAACTCTTTCCGGGACTTTTACTCCCTCTGCCTCTGAAATCCCACAGGACCCACAGCCCAGATTTCTGGTTGCTTTACGTTTAACTTCCTCCTACTGGATTAAACTTTTGCTCAGTGATAAGTAGAATATCTAGCTTAGGCCTCCATGTCTATCACTTGGGTAAATGCTCCCCAACCCCAGCCCCTTTTCCACAGGGGGTGCCAGCATATTGAAGCTCTTGATCCTTTCCTGGGACCACTGAGAGGGTATATGAATGTGCCATTAGTGGCTCCTACTACTAGCCAGCAGAGGTTTGGGGAAAGTCAACTTTTTGGCAGAGAGGGAAGGGGCCAGACCCTCCCAAGTTCTGTTATGTGTCAGCTTCTCACCTTCAAATGCCTTAGGAGGAAACCTGGACCCCAAGGGCACCTTCTACCAGGGTCTTGAGTAACTTGGATTCTTTTCCACCCCTAGGCCCTGAACTATGACAGATTGGGAATGCAGGGCCAGGAGCCAGGGGTTAGATGACTGGGGTTAGACAGTGTACCAAGCATGAGAGTCCAGGAGCAAAACATTCTAACCGGGGAACCAAGGCTCTGCAACTAGATGAACAGCCTGAAGAAATGGGTATAGTTACAAATGTTCAGAGGCAGGCAGTGAGTTAGCGTGAGGTCTTCAGTTTTGTGGGTTAGCTAATGTCAAAGGCTAGAACAGATAGCAGTTCTGGAAGCTGTAGACAGAATGTGGGTAGGGAGGATGTGAGATAGGATGAACGGGACACCATCCTTGCACTCCCAGCTTCCTTCTCAGCACTTGAGCAGTGTGGTGCCGAGTTCCCTCATCCAGTCAGAGACGCAGCTCCAGTCTGAGGCCTAGCCAGCTGGAGAGAGAGCAGCAAGGGCCTGTGAGAAAAATGGGCTGGCCAGACAGGGCTGGGCTGAGCAGGGAATTAGGATCCTCTCAAATATCCCCTGAAAGTGTAGGTAAGTCTTTCCTTGACCCTACTCATTTGGCTTCCAACACTGGTCCTTGACACTACTCTGCCATCCAGCTCCACTGGTTCAGCCTCAGCAAGGCTGGGTTAGCTTTCTAGGGTTTTTTTTTTTTTTTTTTTTTTTTTTGCATTTTGGATAAGGTATCAAGCACACTTAAGCCTTTGCTGTGGAAATGAATGGGAACTTCCGGAGGCAGTGGGAAGAAGCAGTAGCTTCTGGAAGACAGATCCCTGTCCACAGACTATAGATTTCAGACTTGAGAAATGATTAGCCATCAATCCTTCCATTCATTTATTTTTCATGTACCCATCCATTGATAGGTGTATAATCAATGAATGGGTACATCCTTCCATTCACACATTCATCTATCCATCCATCCATCCATCCATCCATCCATCCATCCATCCATCCATCCATCCATCAATCCATCCATCCAATTATCTGGACTGACTTCCTTTTTCCCCCTTTCCTCTCTCCCTCCCCTTCTTCCCTCATCTCTTTCCTACCTTCCAAGAAATATTTGTTTAGAATCTGTTATGTATAAGGTTTCTCAGATTTGGAAGACTTCTTCAAAACACGAGAAGCTACCCAGGAGAACTCTTAGTCCTTCATTGAGCCCTAAATCAGTCTCTCTCTGTGCTGAGGAACTCCTATATATGAAAAAACAGTTCCTGGTCTGATGTTGCTGAGTCTCCCCAGTTTGAGAAGCTCACAAGTGCAGGAAGCACGGAAGAGAACCCAAGTCTTACATTTACATTTTGAATCTCCAAGCCATCTCCATTTTATAAAGGAACTCTGTATCATCTAAGAGGCCTTGATAACAGAAGCTAAAATATTTTATTGCAGTGGTTTCCTTACTGGTCTCCCTGCTTCCAGGCTTTCTACCCCCCAATTTATGCTTCCCACCACAGAGCAATCTTTCCACAATGTCCCTGTCTTTCTCTCTTTCCTGCCTGAAGTCCTTCATTGGCTGCATGTCACCCATAAGCCAGAGTTCAATTTTCTTAACATGATCCACAAGGATCTTCACGATCTCACCCCAGGTGTCTCTTTAGCCCCCATGCTCTCCCCTCTCTCGTCATATGCTTTACACTCCAACACCACCAAATTACATACAGTTGGCCAGGCAGTCCATGCTGCTTTATGCCTCTATACTTTTATTTTTATTTTTAAAAAATATATTTTTATTGGTTTCAGAGAGAGGAAGGGAGAGGGGGAGAGAGATAGAAACGTCAATGATGAGAGAGTCACTGATCTCTCCTGCATGGCCCCCACTGGGAATCGAGCCCACAACCTGGGCATATGCCCTGACCAGGAATCAAACTGAGATCTCCTGGTTCATGGGTTGATGCTTTACCACTGGGCCATGCCTGCTGGGCATGCCTTTATACTTTTTTAAATTAAATTAAATTTTTTTATTTTTAAAAATATTTTTAAATTTTATTTTTGTTTAAAATAGTACAGATGTCCCTTTTTCTCCCCAATGGCCCGTTCCACCCGGTCTATACTTTTAAATGTGCCAATCCTTTTATCTGGAACTCCTTACCATTACTCCATTCTCTGTACTTTCTTTCAGTTGTGCATATTCTTCTATTTTTAATCATCACCCTGGGTTGTAATTTATTTGCTCGGGTCTGTCTTTCCTTCCAGACTGTAAGGTGCTTGAGTGCAAAGGCTCTGAGTTACTCATTTAAAAAAAGAATTATTTTTAATCCTCACCTGAGGATATTTTTTCCATTGCTTTTCAGAGAGAGTGGAAGGGAGAGAGAGAGAAACATCGATGTGGGAGAGACACATGAACTGGTTGCTTCCCACATGCACCCTGACCAGGCCAGGGATCAAACCTGCAACCAAGGTCTGTGCCCTTGGCTGGAATCGAATCTGGGACCCTTCAGTCTGCAGGCCAACTCTGACCAAATCGGCTAGGGCTGAGTTACTTATTCATCTTTGTGGCCCAGTCCTAGTACAGTGCCTGGTACTTAGAAGGCAGTAAGTATGTATTTGTGGGATGAACGGAGGGGCGGATGGACGATAGGGGAGGAGATTAAAGAAGGAAGATAGTCTGGGCACAAGATGGTTAGTGTCCATGTAACAGACCCCCAAAGAAGGAGACAGACGGCCCTTCCTGGAAGCTCAGACCTTTGAGGGAAGCCCGGAACTGTGGCTTAGGCCAGGCGAGGTGTCCAAGTCAGGCATGGGGAATTTGGGACTTACATGATGACCTTTTGTGGGACTCACTTCCCTTTTCCTCTAGATATAAGCTCCTTGGGGAACCAGGCAGCCAGAAGCACCTGTGCTGCAGGGGTGAGCGTGCAGGATGAAGGCTGGAGAGAGCGAGGTCCCCGATGCTCACTTCACTGTCGATAAACAAAACATCTCCCTCTGGCCCCGAGGTAAGCACCAGTCCCTGCTCAGGACCTGCTCAGTGCTCTGTGCCCAAACCCGCTTTTGCTGGTCTTTCAACAGATGTTCCCCTCTTCTTCCAACAGAGCCTCCGCCCAAGGTGGGTTCGTCGCCTGTTCTGAGGAACCCTTGCACAGTCCGCGCCGCAGTGGTCATCCTGACGCTGGTCCTGCTCGCGTCCATCCTGCTGCAGGCCATTGTCTGTAAGTCCTCTGGCTCCATCATGGGGGCCTGCTCCTCTCCAGGGCCAGTCAGCTTCCACGGCATCCAGACCTTTCTCCCTGTTCTCCAGTGGTCTCTCCCTCCTGTGGCTTTTTCGTGTGCCTCCTTTCATTTGCCTCTTTCCGTGTGCAGTCACAGGGTCCCTGGCCTCAGTAGAATGAGCTGCCACTCTTTCCTTCCCAAATCCAGGGAGATTTTTCTGAATGGAATAAGCACTTGCATACTTGTGCTCAAAGATATACTCTTTTGTTCCCAGGAAATGTTCACCTATTTCTTTATCCCATGTCATTTTTCTCCTCCCTCTCTAGCTCTGTATCCCTTCGATCCAGAGCCTTATGAGATGCCCCCAACAGTGAGCGAGATGTTTCCCAGCCCCACAAGGGAAGGAGTCCTAACTTCATCTTCAGGCCCAGCTGACTAGATGGAGAACCTGGCCAACAAGCCAACAAATCTCCAAGGTTCCTCCCCTCCCCAGAACCCCTTCGTGCTCTCTTCATTCTGTTCCTGTGAAGATCATGTCAAGGATGTGTGACTATTGGATGTGTGACTATTGGATGTGTGACTTACTGAATGTGTGACTTATCTTTCTTCTTTGCTGAGGCCCTTGGCCTCTGCTGCTAGCAGAGCCTTCATCTTCCACCAGCTCTACAGAAAGCAGAGGGAGGGGATGTCTATCATCTTCCTTCATGGCTTCGGGACATATTTCATCTCAGATTTGGAGCCTCTGAGCAGAGTCTCCTCTGCTTGGAGCCCTCTTGGTTTACTTTTGGTCTCCTCTCTGGCACCAAACCTGTGGCCCGATCAGAGTGTGACAGTAGAAGGGATAAGGGAAGGAGACAAATGGTTTCATGATTGTCCCTTTCTGTGTTCTCTGGAGAAGTCACTTCCAGATTAGAAGTCTGCATGGCTCCTCCTATGGTCAGGAAGAGCCAGTGGACAGGTGTGGGACAGGTGGTGCTGTCCTTCCTGATGGCCACTGCAGGAGTCTCTGAAAGGAGAGGGCTGGGAATCAAGTGATAGGGCCTAGAAGGATGTGGGGAGGGTGCCAAAGGGTGGTTGAGGGGCATCCCTTTACAAAATGTGCCCTGAACACTCAAAGAAACTTTAGGACTGGGTTCCAATCCCTGCTTCTGTTTGTCTGTGAGGTGTTCTAATAGAGAGCCCATATTTATCAATCTTTGTATTACCTGCATCTACCATAGTTCCTGGCACATGGCAGGTGCCATCACATGTTTGTTGAATAAATAGATTACAAACAGCTCTTTGGGTTGGGTCCTTGAGAAGCTTGAGTCTGTTCCTTTCCTTTCCTTTCCTTTCCTTTCCTTTCCTTTCCTTTCCTTTCCTTTCCTTTCCTTTCCTTTCCTTTCCTTTCCTTTCCTTTCCTTTCCTT